CGTGTGATGATCACAATTTTGTCTGCTACCAGGTCCTTACAATGCCAAAAGTATAAGACTCTAAAGCTTGAGCTAAAGAGTAAGCTTCCTAGCAGAGGGCTATAACAAAGGGTGTGAACAAATGTAACATACATACTGGCATCTGTATAAGCAGTTATGAAGAAACTGTTATATCTGCATAGTCCTGTGAGAGTACAAGTGGAACAAAACCATTGTAACTTACCCCTGTTTCATTTAAGGCTACTGTAGGAGCATGTAGATGTAACAGTTAAATTGGAATAGCTGATGTGATCTCCTGAGTGGCAGCTTCTCCTCCCCCTTTAGAAGTGGTTGAAATAAACATCACGTAACATTGTGATCATGAATACAAGCAGACCAATGACAACGCTGGCTAATAAGTTACTAGACCAATGTTATAATATGTAAATAGCACTCTGGTCTTTATTTGCTTTTCACTAATACTAGGTACTTAGGCCTATTTGCTTTCTAAAAGAGGTTCTGATATAGGTTCATAGAAAAGTAAGGCTGGAAGGGACCTCACAAGGTCACCTAGTCCTGCCCCCTGCTTAGGGCAAGATATGACCATTCCGTCTTATTTAATACCTTCTTGCACTTAAAGCTAACCACAGGGGCTTGTCACTGTACCTGGAATCCCTGCTTTTGTAACCTTTCTGCTGTATTGCTTGACTTTGGGTGATCCTGGAAAAACATCCAGAAACTTTAGCCAGGGCTCAACACATACTTGGAGTGGTCAAACTGTTTTCTTCTTCTTCTTCTGACTTCCCCTCTCTGTATCTCCCCCAGGTAGAGGAAGACCACTTCAGGTCCTGAGAGTGTAGTGTGTGATTCATGGGTATTTTGGTTAACATTTGTGAGAAGAATTATACTTTATAAGAGCCCTAACCTGACAGAGACACCTCTGAGGAGATAACATGGAACAAGATAGTGATTTCCAATAAGAAGGCATATATCTGAAGTAATGCCTTTGAAGTCAATGGAGTTATATTGGCAAAAATGTTAAAAGAATATGGCCTCTCATAAATAATGATTATGGACCAGAGGTTGACCTTTCTTCTACTTTTCTACTTGAATTGAATTGCTCCAGTATGTTTTAATGTTAAATAGCAGTAGCAGTAACATTAATAACATATACTATTACAATTTTTTAGTCTAAAGGGCAAGGAAAATTAAGAGAAAAACCATTCTACAAGAATTTTCAGCCTATGGTATATTGATTAAAACATGTATTTCCCTACAGCATGTAAGTGACTACAATCTTAGTAAATGGTTTAAATATTTACGCATAATTATAGTTAGATGGAAAAGTACAGGTAGGGCATAATTTCTGTTTCTCACATATAAAATAGCAATTCTAACACAGGAGCAATTCAACTCATGGTCACTGTAAGAAGGGGAATATTTGTGTGTTACTGGGTGAAACACTGACCTCCATTACTCCAGTATAATCTGGAGAGATTCCACCAATGGCACTAAAGTTATAGCAGTATTATGCCCAGGTGCAACAAAAATCACAATTTGGCCCATCTTCTTGTCAGGACAAGTAAACACATGGCTTGATGTCAAAGTTAGGTGAGAGATTGTGTAAATATTTCCTTGCAATTAGTTCATGTAAATAACTGAACTAAACAGAATGTATCACACACGGTTCTTTTTTCCTGTTTATCAAAGAGCTCAGTCAACTCTTCATTTAGAAGTGGAAAATCAGAGAAGCCTCTGATAAAAATTCCTTTGCTTCATAGACACAGCTTGAATTAGCTATCATTTCTTGAGTGATAAGCAGGATGCATCGGATGACAGAATGTATGCCTTTTCCTGCCAAGGTTTCACTCTGTGTCATCAAAAGACAAGATCTTATCCACACCCACATTCCTTTTTCTTAAATTTGACAAAACAGAATGCAGGGACAAGGAAACACGTGTTAACACATTAAAAAATTTACAGCCATAGTATGCCATCAGTTTATATGCAGAATCCCCACTGAAAGCAATGGGGGTTTTGTGCAAAAAGCTAATGATACAACTTGAGTCTCTGTGGACACATCTACATGTGCATTAATGCATTTTTCCTAAGGCGCATTAAATTTAGTACCTCCAATGTGAGGTACTAAATTAATGCACATTAGGCTACCCAAATGCACAGTAGAGCAAATGCATGATTTTGATGCTTAGTACATAGTAGTGTATTAGCATAATAGCATGGTTTTTATGTGATGCTTTAATGCACAGTAAAATAAGCTACTGCACATTAAACACATGTAGATGCGCCCAGTGTACTTTCAGGCATGCAAAGTGATTTGGATTTGTTTGTTTGCTTTTCTTTACTTTGGGGGGAGAGAGGGGACTTGCCTTGCTTTAAGCTCATTCTAGAACAATTCAACACCTCATTAAAATAATAATACTCTTGCAACATGTTGCCCAAACATGATGTGCCTATTACCAGTATATTTTGAACAATATTAGAATGAACCCCCCTCATTCGGCCTTGCGGGGAATATGTGCCTCTCAGTCAGCAGCCACTTGAGGTCAGATCCCGCTTCCACTCCCTCTGAAGTTCCTCTACCTCTGTTTCTTTCCTGCTTCTCCCAAAGGTCTCCTACTGTTTCTCTTTACACTAATAAGCTACTAAGAACCTTAATCCCCAACAAGTGCATGTAGTCAAATCACTCTTAACGTTCACAAGCTGAGACTAGGCCACAGTGGAAAATACATTTGCAGTCACTGATACTACTATGTTAGTAGGTCCTTTCAGCCCAAGTCAGTTTTGGTGCCACTAATCTGTCAGTTGTTCTTTTTTGTCATTTCTCTATCAAGTCAGGCTCTGATATATTATTCTATGTGTTCCTAGCCTCACTAGCAGCTATGGTTGCCATTGGTCCTGTTCTATACTGGACTGTCCTGTTTTTAAATCCTTTGTCCCCTGCCTGTTTCTGAATGAGGACTGGACTGCAAAAAGCCCTTTTTTCAGTTCATTGTTGGAAAAATATATCAATCATTTGTCCTCATGGTTCTTTTGGCTGTGCCTATAGAGGTAGGATGGTGCACAGCCAGGAGGAGCAGGGTTCCAAGCCAGGAAGAGGAGGAGGGAGGTGGAGGATCCCATGGGGCTGCTTCTATGTTATGTGTCCAGTGCAGAGCCTTGCTGCTGATTGGCCGAGGGGCCTGGTCTCCCTATCCTTCACTGTTGATTGGCTGAGGAAGAGGCAGCCCCATCCCTCACTGCTGATTGGTAAGGAGGCTGGTGGTCCCACCCCTCCCCAAGGGGATGACGTCCTGTGGGAATTCTAAGGCTGCAGCAGTGGCCACCTTGCTAGCAGCCAGTCTTGATTATTCCCATCTGAAGCTTTCTGGGATTGCTATTTGGGCAGTGTTGTATACATGCACACAGGTGTATCATCAGGCCCCTGTCCCAGCTGCCTGCAGTGGATTTGTTTGGGATTGAGAGAGTGGTCGGGGTAAAAAGGTAAGAAAAGTTTATTGATCTAACAAACACTAATTACACAAAGCTTA